GAGCTGGGGGCCGGCCTCTAAGTCTCAGGAAGAGGCTTGGGGCTCAGGTGGATGGGCGTGGGGGCAGGGCGTGGAGACTGCAGGGCCTGCCAGGGGTCTTGGAGAAGGGGATCCTTCCCGGTGGGGCTAGCAGGGAACCTGCCGGGTGGCCAGAACCTGGGGCCAAGTTGGGCAGGTCTTCCCTGGAGTGGCTGGTGCCCAGGGATGGGGTCTTGGGCATGGAAGGGCACTCACCAGTTTTCCAAAAGGGAAGTCCGGAGCAAGATGGGAGCTGGGGGCCAGCCTCTAAGTCTCAGGAAGAGGCTTGGGGCTCAGGGGGATGGGAGTGGGGGCAGGGCATGGAGACTGCAGGGTCTGCCAGGGGTCTTGGAGAAGGGGATCCTTCCCGGTGGGGCTAGCAGGGAACCTGCCCGGTGGCCAGAACCTGGGGTCAAGTTGGGCAGGTCTTCCCTGGAGTGGCTGGTGCCCAGGGATGGGGTCTGGGGCAAGGAAGGGTACTCACCAGTTTTCCAAAAGGGAAGTCCGGAGCAAGATGGGAGCTGGGGGCCGGCCTCTAAGTCTCAGGAAGAGGCTTGGGGCTCAGGCGGATGGGCGTGGGGGCAGGGCGTGGAGACTGCAGGGCCTGCCAGGGGTCTTGGAGAAGGGGATCCTTCCCGGTGGGGCTAGCAGGGAACCTGCCGGGTGGCCAGAACCTGGGGCCAAGTTGGGCAGGTCTTCCCTGGAGTGGCTGGTGCCCAGGGATGGGGTCCGGGGCAAGGAAGGGCACTCACCAGTTTTCCAAAAGGGAAGTCCGGAGCAAGATGGGAGCTGGGGGCCGGCCTCTAAGTCTCAGGAAGAGGCTTGGGGCTCAGGGGGGATGGGAGTGGGGGCAGGGCGTGGAGACTGCAGGGTCTGCCAGGGGTCTTGGTGAAGGGGATCCTTCCTGGTGGGGCTAGCAGGGAACCTGCCCGGTGGCCAGAACCTGGGGCCAAGTTGGGCAGGTATTCCCTGGAGTGGCTGGTGCCCAGGGATGGGGTCTGGGGCAAGGCTCATTCCATGGTTTTATTTGTCATCCTTTTAATATCATTGCAAATGTAAACCAAATAGAAACTTGGCACTACCCTTCCAAATGTTAGAGACTGAAAAGAATGGTACAAAAAATAGAAAATGTAAAGAAGAATGAACAAGCATTATTTCCTCAGGAAGTCATGTTATAATCCAACACTGAAGCCCATCGCTGACAAATTTTTCACTTTTTCTAAAAGTTCATATCCTAGAGCTCAGGTACTAAATTGGCGGTCATGTAACTGAATTTGTAGACCATAAAACATTGCCTACAACAAAATACTATGAAAGCATGTCAACCAAGAAGAATGATTTTGAGATGTTTCTGGCAGTGCAGACCCCTGTTACATAACTGAACTTCACTGAAGCCTTGAATCTGAACACAAAACATGAACATTTTACACTATGCACGTCAACATATCATGTGACACTGCAATTGAGACACTGGCTCAGATTTCAGACTGCTGCATGTTGTATTAGGCATTGCAGTCATTTTGCTGAACATACAAGTCTTTCTGCCCTGATAAAAACAGTAATTTAGTCACCTACCATTATTTCTAACCATGAAAGTATCAATTTTATACATCTTTGGGTTCTATGGTGTTAAAATGTCTAACTCTACCTGTTCCTGTGTAAGTTGATGACTTGACTTACATGTTGCTTAATTCGTTTAGCTTGGGATTAGGAAAGAATTTCAAAAAAAAATTCCTGAAATGCCCTTAAGCATACTTCTGCTACTTTCTCTAATGTATTCATGTGAAGTGGGAATCTTAGCACTGATGATTATAAAATCAAAATATCTACTGACTCTGAAATATTTTGAAGTTGTGCTACATAGTATGAAATCAAATATTCAGACAAGATCAATTTCATTTGTAAAATTAAGCAAGCATACCCATGTCACTAATACCCATATTTCATTTTATCACTAATAAAAAATATTATAGTGTAACAAAATTGTTTTAAAACAAATTTTCTCATAACTTGTTATCAATTAATGTTTATTGTCTATACCTATGTTATAAACCTATATGCCTGATGTTGCATTAAAGTTTCACAGGTGATATTGCCCCATGCAACTACAGACAAAGGTCCCATAGGTCTCTGTACTGGATTTGACTTTAGGCCTCCTCCATGAGGAAAATATTTCATGATAACCAGAAGATACCATACAAACGTCCAAAGGAGAGAAGCAACCAATAGTCCCACCCAGCTATGACACCTGTGAACCCCAAGGAGCAGCACTGCATGATAACCCTAAGAGGGCATGAACAGTATATATACCTAGATGGTAACCAAGGGGTTTCTAATTGGACTTGAAGAACTACTCAACAAGAGGGAAATCATGTCTGGTACCAGAAGCCTCACCAACTACCCAAAGTGAGTAAAGTCATAGAATAGCAAGCAGAGAAGATGCAGAGAAAAATAAGATAGGCATGCTATACTGAGAAAAGAAACCAAGTCACATGGCAAGGAATAGATAAGAAATATCAATTAATTTAAATTTAAGATTTAGCTAGTAACAAGCCTGACCTATTGGCCAAATATTTATCATTAATATTGAATTTCCATGTCGGATATTTGGGAACTGGTAGGTGGGAAAGAAGAGTCTGCCTAAAAAGCACCAAAGGCAATGGGAACTAGCAGGAAAGCAAGGACTTGAACAAGGTACAATCTGTGGCTCAACAGGGAAGAAGAAGGTTGAGGAAGATGAAGACTGTGTCTGAGGGAATGCATCACGACAAACATAGGTGTTAGAAACTCAATCCTCAAATTCAGATCAAAGTATCTGATAGTAGTTTGTTTGGGAGGTAGACAGGATAATATGAGGTCGTAAAGGAAAAAGTGCCATAACGGCACTATTAGCTTTATAATTAGAGGCAAAAAGAGCAGATCTGGCACACTGTTGATCTCAGCACGTGATGTCTTCCACTATGTTAGGAAACACCAAGGAAGCCCTCAGGAGATGTGGTCCAATCATGGCAACATGCTCATAGGATTCCTCAAGCCCAGTGTGGTGATATTTCATTTGCGCTGAATGTGGTGAAAATTTAATTGTACTGAAATGTGGTGATATTTTATTTGTGCTTTAATAAATAAAGCTTGCCTGGAGCCCAGAGGAAAAAGCCAACCACAACCCAGAAGTTATGCAATGTTAGCACATGCCCTTAATCCCATCACCTGGCAGGCAGAGATCTGTCTGAATCCCTGTAAATTCAAGACCACACAGAGCCAGGGGTGGGGGCACGCACCTTAATTCCAACACTAGTTAACCATAAAGTTCTGGAGCTCTATACACACAGAAAGAAAGTGACAAAGCTGTGTAGGAAGAGGGAGTGATTTAGCAGGGCTAAGAGAGCCAATGAGAGAACAGAACAGAAAAGGCATATAAACATGAATATACAGGAAAAAGCTCTCTTTGGAAGCTGTAGAGTTGGTGAGATGAGGTTAACTCATAGCTTTCTGTATTTTCCCTGATCTCTCTAAGAGTTTCACCCCTATATATTTAGCTATATATTAGTGTTTTTTTATTTAATAAGGCCATTAGAAATTTGTCTACAGCCCAGAGCTATAATAAATAGATGTATTTTCTGTGTTAGATTCCTGGTTTCTGGTATTCAATTATGGCAACAGTAAACAAATCAAAGCTGAATAGAAGTAACAGATAAATGTCAAAGAAAAGTAAGATATGAGAACTCACAGAGTAGGTGTTGAAGGCTGGGTAGTACTGCACTCCGTGTATTTACTGGCTGCCATGTTTGCAGAAAGAATGGTGCAAATATCCTCACTGGCCTTGGGAAAAGATTCTCTGAATGCCAAGATGAAGGTGCAGCCCTGAGAGCACCTTGACTGTAGCCCCCAAGACCCTACATAGAGGACCCAGATATATCCTGCCTAGGTTATAGGTGTTGTGGTTGTAAATCGATGATCCAATACTAATTCCCTACTGTAATCTAGGACTGTAACCTTGAAAAACTCAGAGATGTGCATCTTGGAGAAGGTGCTAGGGATCATCCTGTTGAGCTTTCATGCTCCACACTGGGAGGATGCAGAGACACAAAAAAGGCTCATGTAGAAGTAGAGGATGACTGGGAAGAAAACCTTCCATGATCATGGCTGTGCACCCTTGGCTGTGCGCCAGCAATGGTAGAACAATTGCAAAAGGAAAAAAAGTTGGACATGGTGTCATGTAATCCAGCAGTCAGAAGGAAGAGGTAGGTTGGCTACAAGTTTAGGGTCACTGGGGTCTAGATAGTGATTTCCAGGTGAGCCTCAAATATATAGTGAGACTTCGTACTCCTTGAAGTAAGAAGACAGCAAAAAGTGAAAGAAGCCAAGAAGAGAATGTGGCCACGTTGTGGAAGATATTATAGGGAAAGATGTGGGTATTGGATGAGGAGAAAAGAACAGCAAATGAGTATAACACTGTGGATGAGCATCTGTGATGGACACAGAGATGCAGATAAGAAGCTGAGCAATAAATTAGCCAGAAAAGGCTTGTATGTGATCCTCTGAAGAAAGACTTGAGAAATTTTAAGCAAATAAAAGAGGGAATATAACATTAGGTTGAAAATATATGCTTGTGTCTCCAAGACAACAATCTTCAAAGTTCAAGCTCTGATTATTTTGGGCAACTGGGGAAAGTTTCCTGTAAGTTTAATATGATTGACTATTCAGTATATTGAACACAAAAAAAAAAAAACCCAACAAATTTTATTGAAATTGCCCATTGAAAATAGTATCAAGGAGGTCTTTATTATGTAAGCAAACAGATGAATTATAAAGTATAAATGGTGGGACAAACACACATACTATTATTTTAAAAATCTGTTCCAGAATTTCACTGTTTTTACAAACAAGATTTCCAAAATTACATGATTGACATGCCTGGGGAAAAACACAGCTCAGACACTGAGCTTCAGTGAGCAGCCACACCAGGAGGTTTTTGTTTAGCCCTAGAGCACTGTGGGAGGAAGCTCTCTAGTCTGCTGACAGTAATAGGTTGCAGCATCATCAGCCTCCACAGGATTGATGGTGAGGGTGAAGTCTGTCCCAGACCCACTGCCACTGAACCTGGCAGGGACCCCAGATTCTAGGTTGGATGCTGCATAGATGAGGAGTTGTGGGGGCTGTCCTGGTCTCTGTTGATACCAGTTCATAAGATGAGTTCTACGTATAGTGACACTCTGGCTGGACCTACAAGACAAGGTAGCCCTTTGCCCTAGAGACACACTCAGTGAAGGCGGAGACTGGGTCAGCACAATGTCTGCAGTAGAACCTAGAATGATAAACACACAATGCTGTCACAGAAATACTGCAAATACCCATGAAAAAAACATACGTATGTGGAATGTGTAACAGCAATCAAGAGATATACCCTGAGAAAAATAAAATAAAAAGGAAGATCAAAACCAATTAAATTTCAATGATCAGGAAAGACACCAAGGCATACAAAACAATGATGGCCACAGAAGATGCTCCTACCACTGCAAACTCTCACCTGGAACCCAGAGCAGCAGTACCCATAGCAGGAGAGAAGCTGACCCCATCTTTGTGAGCTGGACTAGAGGCTGCTTCTTGGGTATAGGCAAGCTGCCTTTAAAGATGCTTTGAGCAATCTGCACTGTGGCTAAAGTCTCAATATGCAAATCAGCTCAGAGAAGCTTGACTTTTTGCTCACAGGGCACCTGCTCTTGTGTCACCCTATGGCAGTTAGGATTAACAAAAATTTCACTAGGGTATTGTAAGTGTATACCAAGTGTTTTTGCGGCTGGCCCTGTGCAGACATGTTCTGTTATTTTGAGGTTCCAACTGGGGAGTGCACTATCACTGCTCTGCTGTAGAGGATATTATACGTAAGAGCACTTTTCTCCCTCAGAATTGTTTAAAATCTTTTTATTGATTCTTTGTGGATTTCACATCATGCCTACCAATCCTATCCATCTCCCCATTCCCTTGCTTCCTCCTTCTGTCCTTATAACCTCCCCCAAAATAAAATTTAAAAGTAAAACCCAAGACTCAAAAAACCAAAAACAAAAAAAGAGAAAAAGAAAAAGAAAAGACAAAAACCTTGGCATGGAAACTGTAGTGTGGCCCGATGAGTCACACAGTATATCCTTTAGTCCATATATCTTTCCTTGTAAGTATTTATTGCAAAGAGCCATTGGTCTGGTTGAATTCCTGAAGAGGGCAATGGATCCACTAGAACACAGTTACAGATGGCTGTGAACTGCCACATGAATGCTGGAATCTGGACCCATGTCATCTGTAAGAGCAAGAACAACTCTTAATCACTGAGCCATCTCTCCAGCCTCAAACTGATTTTTTTCAATCTCATGACAACAAAGTGTTTTGCATTGTGATATTTCTCACAAACAGAAACTAGTTGGATATAATGAGATAAAGAACAAAACAAGGTGGCTTGGTTCAGATGAAAAGAAGAAGTTGGCTCCTCTGAGAGGCTGTAATCTAAATGTCATCAGGAGCAGAAGAGGCAGTGAGCAGTGAACATGGGATGAAGAAGGAGGCAGGAAACCTAAACTTAGAACAAACAGGCAGCACTGAGGATAAGCCAAAATGATTTCCATTGAGGCCCCAGTATTGATAGTGTAGCATAAACCAAAGGTCTTAAACCAGACCAAGGACTCATTGCAATGAACACATGCAAAAGGATATACTGTCTGACGCATTGTGTCACACTAGAGCTTCCACGATGAGATTTTTCTTTTTTTCTTCTTCTTTTCCTTTAAATTTTACTTTGTGTTATCCTGTTGGGGGGAGGTTGCAAGGGCAGAGGCAGATGTGAAGGGGCTGGAGATGATTGGAATTAAGATGCATGATGTGAAATCCACAAAGAATCAATAAAAACTTCTTTAAAAGTATGGAGGGCAATAATTAACCAGCAGAATGTAGTAAACCTCCAGGAGCTGTAGTAAACAAAGGTATACCATCTTCTCAAGACATGAGAAGGTAGGTCCTGGAGTGATGACTCCGTGGTTAAGGGCACTGGTTATACTCTTCCAGAGGACACAGGATCCATTCCTGACACCCACATGGCAGTTAACTACCATCTGTAATCCAGTTCTGGGGGAACCAATGCCATCTTCTGGCATCTGAGGGTACTACATGCACAAGATGCACAGCCTACAAATGGGCAGAACACTCATATTTATAAAAATTAACTCAATTAATCAATTAATAAGGTGGCTAACATCTTTACTTAAGGCAAATGAGTTCTGTTTGGAAATTCTAGATTCTAGAACTACAAAATGATGATTTCTTTTTTGTTCAAGCCAAACTTACACAGAGAACTTAACTGTGTTTTGCTCCAAGGTTAAGGGACACACTGTGCTAATTAATTCTCTGCAGCATTTTATAAGTTTTCTCATCACTGTGCCAGGCACAATGGCTATTAGGCAGATGAGGGAAGTGTCCATGCCTGCGTGTAGTTCAGGAAGCTGGTGAGACTCAGAGAGGAGTTTTGTGTTGGAGCCTGAAACACTATGGGAGGAGAGCAGTAATGCTGTATGCAGTAATACTCTGCCAGGTTTTCAGCCTGGACGCTGCTGAGGGCAAGAGTGAAATCTGTCCCAGATCAACATTCTATGAAGCCATCAGGGACCCCAGAGTTCCTAGTGGATACCCAGTAGATCCACACTTTAGGAACCTGCCCTGATTTCTCCTGATAAACAGGCAAAGGGGTTCTTCTGTATATAGCTACCAAACAGACTCTGGCTGGACTTATCATTAATGGAAGTCTCTCTCTCCTGCTGACACACAGCCATGGAGGATAGAGACTGGGTCATCATGATGCCCCCTTAGGCATCTGCAATTGATAAGAGAAAACTGTCATGCATTTACATTCAAGGACTTTGTAACACAAACATTGATATTAAAAATATCTTTTCTAAGCAAGTGTAGTGTCACACACCTTTAATCCCTGTACTTGGGAGGCAGAGGCAGGAGGATTTCTGTGAGTTTGAGGTCAGTCTGGTTAACAAAGTGAGTTCCAGAATAGATTTTTCTCCCAGTTATTGTATGTTTGCATGGCCTTTCTCAGCAAAAGCGTCACTCTAAAAAGATTATAATAATTTTAAATTTGTTACCAGACACTCAGAGCAGCAAGGACATGAGTACCTGGGTCGCTGATTCCATCTTGTTACCCATCTTGTCTGATGCGGCTCAATTCTCACTGGAAAAGCCTGTTTTATATAACCTGAGCAGCTAGGATATCCTGTAGGAGCCCATGCAAAGTGGTCAGCAAATGAGGAAGCAAACAGCATGGCAGTCTGTGTGAGAGAGACTGAAGAAATCAACAGCCAATAATATCAGAGGGAATAAGCAATCACTGGGGTGGAAATCAACATAGAAGCTAATTGTCCAACTAAGAGCTCTCCACCCACAAACATCTAGAGGCTCTAGTGACAGGCTTCCATTCACAGTCAATGACATGTTTATATCAGTTCACAGACATGATGGTAGAGCTAACTCAGAATAGCAATCCCTGGGAAATAATTAACATGAATTATTTCTGTTAACAGAAAACAACAAAGGGGAAGTGGAGGAAAAGGAAGTGAAAATGAATGAAGGCTGAAGGACAAAAAGAAAAAGGGAAGAGGAGGAGGAAAGACAGAAGAAAGGAGGAAGGGAAAGAGGAGGAGAGAGGAGGAAAAGAAAGAAGGGAAATTCAGTGATGGGAAGGGAGGAGAAAGGAGAAGAGGAGAATAAAGAAAAGGGAGAAGTAAAAAATGAAAATCAGAAGGAAAGGTGACAAATTTTGGACCAATTTTGTGTAACACTGACCCAAAATTTCCCAGCTCCAAAGCCATTTACATTCTGTTGTGAACGGAGAACACTAAACACTCCAGAGCTACAGTTTCCAAGCTGAGCATCCACCAGAGAGCAAAGACAGGCCCAGAGTTCACTCCATGGATGTATGTGGCATCCTCATTTAATCATAGAGTTATAAGGGTTTAATGTCATTGTAAACATAAACCAAACAGAATCTTGACACTACCCTTCCAAATGCTAGAGACTGAAAATGTGCTACCAAAAATAGCAAATGGAGGGAGAGAGCGAAAAAGCAGGAATTCCTCTGAAAGTTTTGTTGTAATCTAACACTGAAGCCCAACACTGACAAAGTTTGCTTTACTGGAGAAATGCATGCCCTAGACCTAAATCTATGGGTCATGTAACTGATCCCATAGGTCATCAAACATTGGCAAAAATAGAAATTCTGAATGCACATCAACCATGAGCAATTGGAAAGCTAATGTAGAATGAATTTGAGATGTTTCTGGCATTGCTTTGTGTTGTATCATAGGACTTCAATGTAGCCTTGGTCCTGAACACACAACATGCACACTTTGCATTATGCATGCCGACATGCCATGTAACACTGCAAATGAAGTCTTTTCTTGGATTTTAGACTATTATGCTATGCACAGAATTGTCCTCACCATACTTACAAGGTTTTTTGCTCTCATAAAACATAATAATTTAGTTACCAACCATTATTCCTTACCATATAAGTATCAGTTTCCTATATCTTTGGGTTGTATACCATTACAGTGCTGAACTACAGATGTTACTGTTTGAGTTCCTGATTTGAGTCACATGAAAAGTGGTTAAAAGGATTTTAGCTTTGGATTTGATAAAATTTCCCAAAAGTCCTGAATTGCCTTTAAGCACATTTCTGTCATTTTCTGCTGAGACTCTGAGCATTGATGATTATAAATTACATTATCTATATACTTTGAAATATGTTGATACTGTACTACATAGTATGAAATCAAACATTAGAACAGATTAACTTTGTCATAATAAGCAGCGCACAACATCACTAATACGCAGATTAGCTTTCATCTTTAATAAACAGTAAAGTTATATAATACCAAAAGTATTTTAAAATAGATTTTCCTATGATTTATTATCAGTTAATCTTTGTCTTCTACATACCTTCTCCATACCTAATATGTAGCTTGTATGCCTAAGGTTGCAGTAAATATTTTACAAATGATATTGCACTTCAGACAAATGTGGCAGGATTCAGAGACCTCTGAGCTGGAACTGAATGTATTCTCCCTGAGGACTAGCATTCTCCGTACTGTAAGTTTCCATGCAAGCTTCCAATAGAGGGAAGCAACCAGCAGCTCTACCCAGCTATGACACTTATGAACCACAAGGAACAATAGGTATTGTACTATATACCAAAGTGGGCAGTAGAGGCATGTATACCTTGATGGTAAGCAACAGCTTTCTAATTGAACTTAAGACTTACTCAACAAGGGAGAAATCATGCCATATACCTGAAACCTAGCCAACTATCCAGGGCTAGTGAAGTCATGCATCTTGGAGGAGTCTCTAAACTCTCTATCTCACTAAACCTGCATAATCCCTAACTGCATGCTAAGTAATTTGTCCTATTACCACAGATAATGGTTGTCTTCACACCTCATCAAAGAAACCTCTTATTGCAAAAGATGGAAACCATTATAGAAAGATATTCCAATCTATATAGAGATGTGTGGAACCCAGCCCCAATAGATAT